ACTTTACTGCTTTAATACCCACTGTAGTTAAGACTTGTACAGGAGGAACACCACAATCTGAAATTAAAGCCTTTCAACAACTTTTTTCCGGTTTGGTCTTTTTGGTTTTTAACTGTCAGAAGACCACACAGCCATGCTGGCATTCAACTCAGGCCACCTTTTAGCCAGAGAAACACAAAGTCCTGGATATGTGAAATCTTGCTTCATCATTTCTTGTGTGGTTTATTCACAAATGAAGCAATTCAGGGTTCAGTTTGATCTGTATTGCATCAAATAACACGGAAGATTCAGTCCAGGTCAGAGCAGCTGGTGGCACTGGTCAGCGAGGACTTTTCCCAGTGTGACAGCCAGCAGGTCGCAGGTTCCAATCCCGGCCGGCTCAGTCTGTGCTGGTTTCCTCTGGGTCTTCCATCTTCTCCAGACCAGCAGAAAAGCGTTAGGTGAGGCTGTCCAGATCCGGTCTGTGGTGCTGTGGTGGGCCGCTGGCCTCTTCAGGGGGAGCGTCCCCCTGACCAGTGTTCACTGCAGCCTGATCTGTACACCCAGCACCCGTGTTTCCATCCAACCAACCCCCCAGTCCCACACCTGGTCCCTGGTGGCGGTATCAGAAGACGGGGGGGTTAGGGTCAGACTTTGACCCGGCCTGCTGGCACCACAGTGGCGCGGCGTCTTGCTGCTCTGGTCAGAACTCAGACGGGTCATCAACCAGGGACATCACCTGCTTTTCCACATCTGCTAGCTTTCTAAACTTATTTGAAGCTGTCCCATTGTTCTGGAATCAGCCGCACATATTCCTTAGTCTCCCGTGAAGCCTTGGTCCCGGTCCTGGTGCTTCTCTTTTTAAGTGGAAACATGCAGTGTGCGGTTTGGTGAAGCTATGCTGCTCAGTAATCATTAAACCGGCTCGTCCTCACGCTCCAGTGAGCTGAACGCTGACGGGAAAGCAGCCAAGCAAGCTGGACTCACCCAACCCGAGGAACAGGTCTGCCCCCCCACCCCCACTGAGCCACGCACGCGCCTCAGCAGACAGCCCCACAGGGCCCAGGCCTCAAACTAATGAGTCACAGAGGGATGATGGCTTTGACCCCTGAGGTCAGGTCACAGGCCGGCCGTGTTTTCCCTGGACACTGAGAGCTCTCGGTGCAGAACAAAGACAGTGCTCCAGCTTCAGCATTTGTCCAAAAGCCTTTTTATGGATGGAACACTCAGATTTGAAAGTCTCAGGTGTGATCACCATGGGCGGGTGCTCCTGTATCCCTGCTTCTGCTTCACCCACTGGGCAGAGGAGCAGCTCTCCCCGAGGGTCCACCAGCAGCCTGGTCCCCTTCTGGGCCTCTCCACGTCCAGCACACCCGGCCGTCCGGCTCCCCCTGAGCTCTGCTGACCGCTGGGGCTGGGCTCTGCAGGGTCCAGGAGGCGGTCTCTGCTTGCGGCGGGGGTCTGGCTGCACCTGCCTTTCCCCTCACCTGCCGACAGGGGAGGAGCCCCGAGAGGCTGGAACCTGGGGGACAGGGGGGGACAGCACCGGCATCAGAGGATGCAGGAGCTGATTTGGTGATGGCGTTAACTTAATCCCATTTTCAGCTCCAGCCTTCTGCTGTGTGCTGGTGTCTGTCCTAACGGGGCAGAGAAAGCCCCGATAGGACACAACATAAATAGTTTTTAGTGGCATAGAGGGGCGTGCTGGTGTTTGGATTGGTCTGGCAGCAGCTGGAGCACCCAGAGCTGCAGGCGTGTGCACGTGGTTTATGGGGATGAGAGCCCTGCTAAAAGCAGCAGCAGCACGCCTCTGTTGTCCTGTTGCAGATAAGCGGGGCCTAATGTTTGTGGGCTGAGTAATGTGTTTAAACAGTTTGCCCTCTTTACTACAGCCCGTGCACACTCCTGCAGTGCACAGGTGCTGTGCTCCCAGCACGCAGAGCCCCTTCGACGGGGGGCTGCTTTAACACATTCACCACCCCACGCCGCCATGGTGTCAGCAGCTTTCCTTCTGCTGAGCCTCAGCTGCACTCACAGGACCTCACTTCCTGTTTAGTCTGCCAGACAATCACAGGTGTCAACGGCGTGCTGGAAATACCTGCTGGAGCTGTGTGAACACTGGCCCACCTGTGTGTGTCTGTACCCCACCGCGTATGTCTGATCCCCCACTGGTCTCAGCCCTGCAGAGGCACCAGGTACTCACACATAAGGACGCAGAGCAGAGCTGCCTGGCAGGACAACACCTGAGCCTACTGGTGACAGTTAGAGTACATGAGCGTCAACAACACGTCTTCACATGAGAGGAGTGCATTTCTCCAGCTTCATTTTACATGTCCTGAAAGCGACTCATTGATCCAGGTTTAAAAGCTCGTTTAACACACAGGAACTTCTGTGGACTCTCAATTCTCCCACCTCCCTCCTGAGTGGCTCCAGTTTCTCAGGACTGAACCCACCAAGAACAATCGCTGGCTTTAAGGTGGACCGATGTCATTTTATAAACACAAAGCAGTCAATGAGGGCCCTGAACGGCCCTTCTGTGGACCTGTGTCGGTCAAAATGGCTGGAGGTGACTTAAGAAAAGAAATCATCAATATAAATAATGAATAAAAGGCATTTCATTGAGGCATCTTGAGAATCTCACTCCAAATCAAATAGTTGATAGTTAAATGTTGCCAGGTTGAGCTGTAGCTCCTGGAGTGACTCCTGTCACAGTCAGAAGGGAGGCCTTACTACCGCTGCTCCCCGCCGGGGGCCAGCCCTCAGGAGCACCGCTGCCCCCTGCTGGGCAGCTGGGAGCGCCTCAGGGTCCACATCCCTGTGGTGGTCTGGGCCGCATCAGGTCCTCCTCTGCTTAGTGGTTTCAGCCCAGTCCAGCTAAGGCGACCATGTGTGACAACCCATAGCAGGCAGCCCCATAACAGGCGAGTTTGGACACAGTTCATTCAAAAGACTTATTTTGAGACTAAACTAGAAGCAGAGCAGTGAAATGGGAGGTAAATAAAAGCTCACTCTACAAACTGTAACACTTTGTGCGGTTTGTATCAGAACTAGGAGGAGCAGCCTCTTTAGGCTGGTAACCACATTATTCTGCAGAGATATGAGCCTCCCACCCATGAGGACGGCTCTATGTAGCAGTGACATCTTTACCTGGCAGGGCGCTGTCCAGCTGTCCGACAGACGAGCCGTCCATGTGCCGACTGTACAGGCTGGATCTGGCAGCTAGACCCCGCTGGCTACCAGAGAAACGGCAGGAGCCGGCAAGGGGGATGAGAAGAAAACCAAAAATGGAGTAGGCCCAGAGCAGGTAGAGGAAAGAAATGAGACACCAGATGGAAGTCCATGCCAAACAGGGGGAATGTATGGCAAGGAAAACTCAAGATAACTGTTACACAACTCAAACAAAGTGAACACAACAAAAAGTCATACATGAAGTTAGCGAGGTGAGAACATTTTTACAGAGGTGCTGAGTGGTGATACAAATATATGGAACCAAGAGCTGAAGAACAAAGGCAGCCTGACAGGTAAGTGTTTGTGGCACATAGTTTAATGAGCTGTAAAAAAGGAGAGCACAGAGCCAGGACTCTCTGTGCTGGCTGCATTCAGACTGAACAGCATAAAAGTCAAACCATTATTCTGCAGCTGCTCCAAAAACAAAGCACCTGTCAAACTAAGACAACCTGCCATCCCAGTAAGAGGGAGGAGGCAGCAGGACCCAGGGCCGGCGGGTCAGTTGGAGCCCAGCTGAGATCTGCTAAGGGAGCTACTGATGTATCACCAGACCAGGATGAAAAGAGGACATAGAATTAAAACAAAAAAACCAAAGGGATGGGTGGGTAGACAAAGATGATGAGGAGGAGAAGAGACAAAGAGACAGAGTTTAGAAAGCAGCAGTCAAAAACCCTGGAGGAAGAAGTGGCCTGCCTAACCCTGCCTATCAGAGCAGAGCCCATCAGAGCAGAGCCTATCAGAGCAGAGCCCATCAGAGCAGAGCCTATCAGAGCCTATCAGAGCAGAGCCCATCAGAGCAGAGCCTATCAGAGCAGAGCCCATCAGAGCAGAGCCCATCAGAGCCTATCAGAGCAGAGCCTATCAGAGCAGAGCCTTTCAGAGCAGAGCCTATCAGAGCCTATCATAGCAGAGCCTATCAGAGCAGAGCCCATCAGAGCCTATCAGAGCAGATTTACACTGCTGGGGTAAACAGAGTGGAGGATGGACACTTTGTGAGGATGCAGCAGGTGTCCTCAGGAGTAACATCACCGTCAGGTGACCTTTAACCCTCACAGTTCTCTAAGCTTCACACAAACACTGAAAACGGGGCACACACTGCTGTCAGAAACCTTCCAAGATACATGGTATTATAATTCAGATCTCACACAACCTGTGTGTAAATAAGGGGTAGGCTGTAAATCCAGACCCCTGTGGGGTTCAGAAAGAATCCCCACTGGCCACATGTGAGCAGGGCTTCTGTTCCAAAGCATCTGCACAACTCGCTTTACGTTTCCACATTCTGACCACAAACTGTTTTGTAATGTGGTGTTTTATCTAGACTGCAGTCACACACACTCTGCGAGTTAGTCATGTTCCAGTGAGCATCGCCAGCAGTGGAGAAAGTTTGTTGTGCTCCATTTGCACTTGAAATGTGACATTGTTATGGCATCAGATGACCAGGAACTAAAGAATTAAAGAGAAGGGATGTGGAGTGAGTCAGCTCAGTTTACCTTCAGGTACTGGGGGAGTATGGGGCGTGTTGGCAGCGCTAGCTAAGCTGGACTGTAACTTCCTCCAGAGCTGCAGCGCTAGCTAAGCTGGACTGTAACTTCCTCCAGAGCTGCAGCGCTAGCTAAGCTGGACTGTAACTTCCTCCAGAGCTGCAGCGCTAGCTAAGCTGGACTGTAACTTCCTCCAGAGAGCTGCAGCGCTAGCTAACAGGGAACAGCCTACTCAGCAGGGTTGTCCAGGACTATGAAGCCGTTTGTGTCTGGTCAGCACCATCTAAACCTGAAGCTGTCCACACTGTTTGCTCATGGGAGGCCTGAGGATTTCCATCCTGCATATGAAGGGGCAGCTGTCCAGATGCAGGAGTGGTCACTCAGCCCATACCTGCTGTGTCTTGCTCTGATGACAGGCGACTGTGCGCTCAGGCCCTTGTTGCTCCCAGGGGAAGGCGGCTGGGTGACTGGGGGAGGAACCCTGCTGGGGGAGGACTCCACGCTGCCAGGGCGGGACGACACCGACCTCTGAGGGGAGTGAGGCAGCGCAAAGGGCCAAGGAAGGGTCCTCTGTTCCTTTCGAACCACTGGACAGCAAAGAAGAACACAGATTAGCGTGCTACATGCCTTTCACTTAGGGACATATATGAAAGAAAGAAAGAGATCTACATCTAACATTCTAGTTAAGTGAAGGCTCAGTACTTTATTTTCATTCAAAGCTCTACTAATACAAAAGATTTAGAGATCTGATCAACTGGCCTGAACACAGGCAGGGAAATCCTAATCAGGCAGCCCTGCACTCATGTGCCTCACAGAGACAGTAAGGGCTGTCAACTAGGGACAGTATTTCTGGACTGCATCATGACTGTGCCCAGTACTGCTGGAGTTCATGTGGCCAAGTATCAATGTGTAGCAGAGTCTGTAACTTTATGAAGGGAACACTGCGTCTCAAAGTGCTAATGGGAGGTGGGGCATCAAAGGGCTCAATCCACTTGTTTCAATGCTCTGGAGGAGGACCAGCCCTGCCCACACACCCCAGCACATTCCACTAGCGAACAACCACACACAGAAAACACCATTACTCCCCCAAGGGTTCAGCACAAATTACATTATCCACCAATCAAATCCTGATGAACACCAAGTCGGCTTCTTCTTCAGATGGTGTTCTATCTGGAGCTGAGGAACAGCTCCAAAACAGTCACTAAGTCCTTATGACTACATCTATGTTGTATTACTTGTAAGGCACTTCCAAACAAGAACAAAGCCAAAGATGCTCTCTGAGAGGGGGTCTGATGGAAAAGGCTTTTCCAAGGAGTTTTTTGAGCTCAGGCAGTTTATCTAGCTTTCAGTTGGACTGCCACGGCCCAGCTGATACTGGCCCAGTTCCTCCTTTTAATGATCCGGCACACATGCGTGCACTCTTTGTGGTTCCTGCAAAACTCACTGTGAGGCGCCAGCGTTTTGAGGAAGAGCACATTGGATGTAAACATTGGGAGGGCGATGCCCCAGTGGGTGCTGTGCGGCGTCATATGTGGATAGACAGTAAAACGGGCCTTTACCTTCTCTCTCCATTAAAGAGTAAGGCTTGATCTCTCCGTCTGGCTTTTTTAGGGGAGCCTTTCTCAACTGGACCGCTGTAAAACAAATTCAAAAGAGAAGCAACAAGAGAACATGAAAGCCTTCCAAATAACGGCACGACACACCCACAGCCCCCTTTGAAATGACTTAACTTTCTGCCTGGTGGACATCTACTAGAGACAATTACAAACCTGGTTGGGCTGCAGAGCAAAGAGATGAGGTTACATCTGCTGTGCTTTGGTGCTGTATAAATAAGCTTGGCCCTGGCTGACACCAGCTGCACGCTGGCCACCCAACATGTTCACCCAGTAGCTTCCAAAAAGTGGATGTCACCCTCACTAAGTGTGTTTTATCTCCAAAAATAACAGCATCACTCAATCTAATGTTGCATTTCGAAAATCAGTGGAAAAACTATTTTGAGTTCAGGATTAGTGCTGACGTAGAAGCCAACTGGAAGACTGCAGGAAGGAGGGCAGGCCTCAACTGGGGACAGAGTTCAGACAGCAGAGATTCTGGCTCAAGGGTCCGTCTGAGGGGGAGGTTTCACCCACCAGACCCACAAGGTGCCACAGGCAGGGCTCCCAGCTGTCTCACCTAAATCAGCGTCCCTATGAAACCGGGTGTGCCTGCCTCTGTTTTCAAGCATAAAGCAATTATAATATGACGTAGAAAGAGGAATCAAGCATATTCTTTGGAGGAAATACAGGGCTGCGGTTTTGTCATTAAGCACCAGCCAATGTTTTTGAAGTGTCTTTAACTGGAGGCTCAGGAAACAGGCAGGTAAGTACCAGTTACTCAGAAGCTTGAAGGGATTTCCGTGCAGACCAGACTGCAGCCCAGGGGTATGTGGGGTGATCGGGTTATCACATGACTGGATAGGTTATGCATGACAAAACCTACATATGCAGACAGACACAAGCGAAAGCAAAGGGAGCTAAAGGTGGCTTCAAAAAGATGAGGAGGAAATAAGAGCAACAGAATGAGAAACTAACTGTGGCACAGAGGAGAGGGAACACAACGCAGAAAGGGAAGAGAAAAAAAAAGAGATAGAAGGTCCTTACAAAAAGCCGTACATCCTCTGATCCGTCAGAGGACAGGAGGCTGAGCCTGCGGGAGTTTGGCGAAACAAAAGATTTGGAAGTGGGATAAAAGAAGTTGAAAGCTTACATCTGTTCTGAGGGAGCTTCACACAGAAACAATGCATGTCACCAAGACATCAAGCAAAGAGCAAAGGCTTGAACATGATTATCATTTAGAAATCTGAGCATACGAGGAGTAAAAAAAAAGATACGAGAGCTATGCAGAAATCAGAAATGATACAAGATGTAAAGACCTGGATGAAGAGTCTGGAGAACTGGATGTTTGAGCCACATTTCCAATCTCATATAAGGAGAAAGATTGGGATAGCTACCTGCTTTGTTGAGGAAGAAGCCATCAAACACTACAAAGTTATTGACCTACACAGGATGACAAGGAAGACAAGATGAGAATCATGTTGGAGTCAATAGCAATACAGGCAGAGCTTTTTCAGTGGAGACCAGCAAGTCTCTCCTCTGTCCACCCACGCAGCAAAGCTAATGGGCCTGCTGGCAGCCAAGCGGCTCCCAGTGCTGCGGACTGTTTACGCATTCTTCCCACCGGATGAGAAGTGTGCTTTCGTCATTAAATACAGCACTTGTCAGGGATATTTGAGTCCTACTGTGAGACATAGATGAGCTACTGTCCCTGCTGGGGACATGTACTCCAATAGGGGAGAGGACAGTTCCTGATGACTTTTCTAGAAAGCGACCGCTTGCACGTCATGTGACAGGAACGCGTCAGTGTGTGTCTGAATGACCCTCTGGGCTTCTGTACGTCACCACAGGAGTCAGCAGCTGCTGTTCCCGACTCTCCCCGGTCAGACCTGAGCTCCGGGTGATCGTGAAACTACAAACTCCATTTTTAATCACAGTTTCTGAGAGAACGGCTGAACCCTGCCCAAACGTTTCCGATGTGCCACCGGTTTCTTTTTCAGTGTTATGTGCTTCATTGACAGAAACCTCTTGGAAATAGGCTAAAACCAAAAAAGCCTTAATGAGTGAAGGAATCCCAAGAACACTACTGGCCTCAGCAGGGGTCCGACGGAGGCTAAGGGGAGTGAGTTGTGGGCCGGTGGGAACACTGGGGCAGCGGGTCGTACCTGAGGAACACTTTGCATCAGACAGTAATGCTTTGCCAGGAAGGACAGGAGTCTGGGCGAAGGCCTGTCGTACGCCATCAGAACTGGCTCCAAATTCTTGTGCTAAGAGAGGAAAGAAGACCTTACTGACTGCCGCTGCTGGCAGCCTAATGCTGCAGGGACACAGATCATGACACAAAGCATTCAGGCCTTTCTCTGCAAGTCACACCTGACAAGGATCTGGTTACCATGGAAAAAACCCCTCCGAAGTGTTCCTGCCACTGATGTGCCATTCATTTGATTTCAAATGTATCTACATTTCATTCTCTATAATGAACTGCAAACAGAATTAGTGTATGAAATCTATGGAAAAATAATTGAAATATCACATTTGTGTTATCAGTATTCAGACCTTTAGGAGCTCCAGAGCTCCTGTTAGAAGGCGCTAATAGGAGGGCTGTAGAAAAGGTTCCTCCAAAACTATCAAATTGATCAAGTCAACTCAACCAGAGCTCATCCAGAGCGGTCGGCCTGAGCAGCCGAGTGAGACCAAAGGTCTGAAGCTCAGCGCCATGAAGACATGATGCTCTGTAATGTGCAAACCAGGCCCAGTTCACTGCCTGCTTTACCATTCTAATGGTAAACACGGTAGGGGCAGTATCATGATGTGGAGGTGCTTTCATCAGACCTGGAGGGCTCCCTTAATGAATCCCTGTTCCACAGAATGCAGGTTCCTGTGAAATGTAATCAGTTTAAAGGAGAGGTGACCTAATACCGGAAGGCCTGGAGGGGTTCACAGCTCTGAAACACGACTACCTGCTTCTGTTTCACTGGAAAGTTCCTTACTTTTTGGATACGTAAAACATATTGACAAGCAGAAGGAAGAGACTCATCTCTGGTATGCTGACAGCTGAAACTGGAGTTTTAGATGAGAAACAAACCTGCAACATGAAACCAAAGAGCTCCAGTCCAAAGCCATGTCGCTGCAGGCTTTCTACGATGTAGAAGTCCAGCACACACAGCGGCTCCGCCTCCACGTGCACGCCGTGCCGGTCCTGGAGGAAAAGCCACACACGGACGGACTCAGTGAAGCACTCGGACACAGACAAAAAGAGAGGACTGAAGGAAGTCATCAACTCACAAGCAGAAACAACTTCTTGTAGCCGACCTTCAGAAATCCAACAACTACCTCACGTCCTCTGTTTCTGAGGGAATGACAGACAGTGCTTTAAAGGAGAGGCGTGTGTGTGTGTGTGTGTGTGTGTGTGTGAGGGATGTGAGACCTACCTGCTTCCCTCTCCATCCTTCAGCACATAGAGCTGGTGCTTTTGGGACTGCAGCTTGGAGGCACTGGTCACAGGTGCTGACAGCGTCTGTGCCTGAGAGGGGAAACTGGTTTGGCACACAGCTGGAGGACAGATGACCTAAACAGCTGTTAGAGCCATTCCTGTGCATGTGGAGGTCAACTCAGGCTCATTTATACCCCGCTTCATAACGTTAAACATACAGTGCAATTCAAGCCAATTAGAACGCAGGTCTTTGTAATACAACCACATCATGAACACACACATGCATATGTCTATGTTTATGCATTTGGCAGACTTATCCAAAGCGACTTACAAAGTAGAATATATACACGTGTATCTCCCCATCGGCGAATCGAACCCCCCCCCCCCCCGGGAATCGGGCCCTCACCACTACACTAACCCCCCACAACGCATATATGTGCGGCAGTGAGGGAGGGCTGGCTCAGAGTTTGATGCTGTCCATGTAGATGGATGCTCCACATATGAAGACCCCCCCCCCCCCCCGATCAATGCTTTCTGACCTGAATCTGTATGCTGCCGTTTGTCCTGCCTCAGAGTGGAGACCTGCTGTGTTTGTTAGCCACCCGCCCCCCTCTCAAGCTGTGACAGCAGGCCTATACTTACAGACATGCCTTCTACTGCTGGCTCCCAGCAGTCAGGGGAAAACGTGCTCACACACCAACACACACCTACCTTTGCAGAGGCTCTCCCAAGGTCATCGATAACTGTGGCGATGTGTGTCTGAAGGTCTGCCCTGAGGGGTCAAGCAGAACAAGGGTTCAGAGAAACTTCTGCTAAGCTGCCAACAGCTCTGTTTAATGCCCCCTCTTCACATGGAGTAAGACCCTCAGAAAATGTTTGCCAATGAAAAGCGCTTTGTAGGTAACATCGTGTAAAGATGCCTTTCACATTGCGTGGGTTCGTGTTGTGCCCATGGCTGTGCCGGTGGCACACACGCCATCACGGACAGGAATGGCCGTCTGAACCAGCCTCAGACCTGCAGACTATCAGGGAATATTAAATATGGCCGTCGGCGGGCTGAGGGCTGGATGACAAAGAGCAGGACACCCGGCATCTGAAAACCCACCTTCCTAAGAATTTGGGGCCAGCGACGAAGTTATGGTCCAGGACTGAGATCCTCTCGGAGAACAGATGATTAACATCAAATGGGAACTCCATCGCTTAGGTCGACGGATCAACTTTATGTGACAGAAGCCCCTCCAGGTAAACGGGAGCTTAGCTGCTGGGCTAACGGCGCACCGGTCCAGGTAAACGGGAGCTTAGCTGCTGGGCTAACGGCGCACCGGTCCAGGTAAACGGGAGCTTAGCTGCTGGGCTAACGGCGCACCGGTCCAGGTAAACGGGAGCTTAGCTGCTGGGCTAACGGCGCACCGGTCCAGGTAAACGGGAGCTTAGCTGCTGGGCTAACGGCGCACCGGTCCAGGTAAACGGGAGCTTAGCTGCTGGGCTAACGGCGCACCGGTCCAGGTAAACGGGAGCTTAGCTGCTGGGCTAACGGCGCACCGGTCCAGGTAAACGGGAGCTTAGCTGCTGGGCTAACGGCGCACCGGTCCAGGTAAACGGGAGCTTAGCTGCTGGGCTAACGGCGGGGATCAGTCCAAACCCGTTCGGCTAAAGGCAGCGAGCTGAGCAGTTTACAACGTCCATACCAAAGCAAGAGACAGACCAGAGGGTCTTTTGCAGTTGGAAAACGTCCACCTGACTGTTTCACAGTTGTTCAAACGGGTGGCTGTTCTTGGGGAAGCTTCTGCGTCTTCCTCTTGACGTCGGTTGGCGGTTAGCTAACGGGAAGGCCTTCTGCCGCCATCTGCTGGTGGGGAGTGGGGAGACAGCCAGACAAACGTCTTTACCTTCATTTTTTAGAAACATCGTGGTCTGTGTCTTATTCATCTCCTTTCACATTAAGTTATTTAACAGTTCCTATACTGATAGAATAAATTGATGTTTGTACTCTTTTTAATCTCCTTTTCATTATTTAAAAACAAATATCCATAGTTCACTGACAATCTGAGACAGGGCTGGAACCCTGTGATGAGGGCTGGAACAAGATGGATCAGTGAATCCTGCCATTGAGCAGGCTCAATCTAAATAAGTGTTTTGGGTGCAGCATACTTTATTATAGCACAAAACATTCAGAATCACTGGCTATTCAAATCATTATCAACTTCAATTTTCTGCATTTAGCATAAAATCCAAAGCGACTCACAATGCAGATACAACATTATAGTTAAAATGAACCTAACAATAAGCTACATAGAAAGAAATCACTAGTCAGACTCTGTTAGGGGCGTCAGACTAGTTATTTCCTTCTTTGTGGCTTATTGATTAGTAAGTGTGGCTTTACAGTATTTTGCCTCTGGGTGGCACCTGCCTCTTGTCATACAGCTTAAGGCAGTGGTGTCAATCTGGGGTCCTCGAGGGTTTTTGTCCTGCAGGTTTTAAAGGTTTTCCTGCTCCAGTCCTGCAGGACAGCGTTCATCGGGGACTGGAGGTTCAAATCTATGATGTGAGGCACACATTAGTGTGGTAATAGATGGTTACATATTTTGTGTGGATGCTAAGGATGCAAGATTGAAGAACAGAACTGATGCGCTGGGCTGTATGTTTTAACTCAGGAGACGGTGCTCAGCAACAACAAACAGAAAGTAGTCATCTGAAAAAACTGGATGATCGTCCATAAAATGTACTTTTCTCTTCTGTGAAGCCTCTGGACATGGTGCAAAATGCAGTAATGAGGACTGAGAAATCACTGGAACTGGCAAATTAGGACTCCAGTGGCTCTGTCTTTGTTTTCCACTTTTCCCATGCCCCACAAGGCAGCAGACAGGGCCTTTAAAGGCCAGAGAATCACTGGACTAATTAAAGAATAAAGTCAAACCTTAACTCTCACTAAATTTTAACTGCTCGTAGAAAATCTGAAATGCTGTGAGTTCAAGGAAAAGTCTGCAGCAGATAAATATCTGGGTATCTGGGTAGTGTCACAGCAGATGTTAGGACCCCAGTGAACAGAACCGCAGGAGACAGGGAAGAACAGGAGGTGGGATATTGGAAGGACAGAGACTGAACATGGATGTTGAATACAAAGGAGTTGATTGCTGAAAGGTGGCAGCTGATATGAAGAGCACACAGGGGGGATGTAGACCTGACGACCAGGCTGGAGAAATGCTGAGGAAACTATGGGAAAAGACCTGAATTACCCTATTGGAATCCCAACAGCAATGAGGGAAGGAACACATAACATAGAAATAAAGTACGTCAAACAAAGAAAAACACCAGAAACTAAAAAAGAGATCAGAAAATATCAATTTAAACAGAAAACCAGACAACCGAAGAACAACGCAAACCAAAAAATGAGTAAAAACACAGGCCCCATGACACAGGGAAAGAAAAGTTTTGGACTTCCTCCTGATACTGTGTTTTCCTCCTGACCTACACAGGTCCTCTCTGCCTGCTCTGCTTTGGGACTCCAGAAAGCCCCGTCTACTTCCACATGAAAGTCTTTGTTCCTATGTGGCCCTGAGAGAAAAACCCAGGTGTTTGGGTAACCAGCATTTCCACAAGGTGAAATGATAAGAAAATGTATCTGTATGTTTTATACTGTCCATCAGAAGTCTGTAAACAGTGACTGAGCTCTAATCTTCTTTTCCATGTCATTAGATGCTTCAGTCTTCACCCCATGTGATGCTAACCAATGGCAGATGCTAACTTTACAGAATACCAAATTCCCCATTTATAATGAATAACTTTCTTCTCAAATCCAAATCTTGTTGTGTTATGCGTGGCTGAAACTATTGAGAAATACCACCTAGAGTAAGGCCTCCAGCAGCGTGGAAAATGTGTGTCGCAATAACCCAAACACAGGAACAAACATGCAAAGAACACAGCACAGTGGTTTACTCAGAAAAGAGGACAGGAAGCCAGTAGTTTCACCCAGTTCTTTCTACCTGCTTTCATCCTCCTGTGAGTCAGACTGCCCGCCCCCACCTGTCCCTCAGCCTGAGTCTGCTGCACTCACTCACTCAGGCAGAAAGCTGAAAGGCAGGAGGATTCCTGCATTACCTCAGTATGCAGCCACAGTTGCATAATCCTAGTGTTCCCCTTTTCCAAAGCCTGGTCACACGGACCTCCATGTGGTCACTGGTCACTACAGTCCTGCTGAAATCATCAGTCTGTGGAATGGGTTGTGCTTTGTTTCATTTAGTGATTGAGGTGGTCAGCAGGTGGAGTGGTGAGAGCCATCTACAGGCCATTTGTGAAGTCCTTTTCATAGTTCATGACGGGTGAGATCTTGCATCAGAGAATATTACAATATATCCCTTTGCTCTGTTTGCCCTTTTCAGGCATCAATGAGGGATTCTCAACACATTAGGTTGAAAAGCTTATTTTTGAAGAGTTTCATGATGAAAAAACTAAATGTTTACTGTCCTCACATTGCATGAGATGTTAGATGCTGCTCACAAAAGAGCGATGTCAAAGGAAGTGAATGACAGCCGGCAGGGCAAACTGGGACTTCCCCCTGCCGTCCTCAAATAACCTGTTTCATCATCACCAACCTGAAACCTCCGCTGCCTCCTCTTCATGTGGCTGGAGCTGTTGCACAAACGCTCCACATTTGATTCCCCTAAAGTGGAAGAACAGTCATGGGCAGGTAGAGCCTCTCTTTCCATCGGGTACATGTTCAGTGGGCAGGAAGCTCCTCACCTGTCTCCCCTCTCCAGGAAGACTGATCCAGATTCAGGAGCAGAAAACTGACATGGAGCCTTTCCTGGTTTGGTTCTGGGCCCCAGCAGGAGACCAGAACCTGGTTCTCAGAGTCCAGCTGGTCCAGAGATGGACTGATCTTGTCTTGTTTCCTGGTTCTGGTCAGAGCTGGACTGATCTGGTCTTGTTTCCTGGTTCTGGTCAGAACTGGACTGATGTGGTCCTGTTTCCTGGTTCTGGTCAGAGCTGGACTGATGTGGTCCTGTTTCCTGGCTCAGAACTGGACTGATGTGGTCTTGTTTCCTGGTTCTGGTCAGAGCTGGACTGATGTGGTCCTGTTTCCTGGTTCAGAACTGGACCAGGTGCAGGTTTCCTGGTTCTGGTCAGAAGTGGAGCAGCTGGTTCTGGATGAGACTCCTCCCAAGCCCAGGTCCAGGTGCAAGTGCAGGTGCAGTTGCAGGTCCTGGTCCAGGTCCAGGTCCAGGTCTAGGTCTAGGTGCAGGTGCAGGTGCAGGTGCAGGTGCAGGTGCAGGTGCAGGTCCAGGTCCAGGTCCAGGTCCAGGTGCAGGTGCAGGTCCAGGTCCAGGTCCAGGTCCAGGTGCAGGTCCAAGTCCAGGTCCAGGTGCAGGTGCAGTCCCAGGTGCAGGTCCAGGTCCAGGTCCAGGTCCAGGCCTCAGACGGTGATGGCTGACAGCTGGCCTTCTCCCCTGAACTTGCTCTGCCTCACAGCCCATGGAGGCCTGGCAGCTGGTCCTGCTGGTCTTTCTTAGTGTGGGTCTGGATTCTCTCTGTCTGAACCGAGGCGGCCTGGGAGCTGCTGGCTTTGACATCAGTGTCTGATGTTCTGTGCAGCTGTTCCCAGCAGCAGCTCTGAGACGGGCAGAGGGTCTGAGACCAGGACCGTGAAGCAGAGCCGGGGCTGCTGTGTTTCTGGAGCAGCCTGAAAGCAGCAGTGTGTGTGTTAGTGCTGTGTGTGAGGCGGGGGTTGTAGCAGTGGGGATCTCACATGCTTCAGACATGAGAGGAGAGGAGGGTGAAGCAGAGGCTGGAGCAGCCATGAGGCAGCTGAAGCCCCTTTAGATTCTGAGCACAGCACCTATCTGGGTCTGTTTAGCTTCTTTTCTGTTTCTGTTCCTTCTTGTTCTTTATTCTTAGTATTTTGCTTTGGAGGTTAGGGCTTGTCTTGGGATGGAAACCAGCTCTGGTCACTGGTCCTTGTTGTCAGGGATC